GTCTACCTAGCCCATCCAACTCTTTATGCACCGCATTTTTCACAACGTCTATAAGAGTCTTGTAATTAATGTATCGAATATTAAAATGATGTAGACATTCTAGAGTGGGAAGGCTACAAGCATATTGTGGATAATCACGTCGCATGAAATCCAGTACTTCACGCCTGCGTAAATTTTGAGCAACATAATTGCTTATATCATGTTCGAGGTCGGTGTTGTCTTCCCAGTTGTCTGCCATATAGCTATAGAATGATTGAACACTTTTTCTTCCTTGTTAAGAATGGTGCAAGATTCGCGAGAAATGGAAATGTACAACCACTGGACTAAGTATATAAACTGGACTTATACAATGATAACGTTGGGTCGTTCAGAGGTAGAAAAAAAAATATTCGAATTTATTTGGACAGTTTAGCTGAGTAAAAATATCATTTTATTTTTTTTTTAACTTTTGAACTAAAAACACAGTTGAAATAAAATAATTTTTGCGATATTAAGTCTAAATACGCTTTCAATATAAACAAAATTTATTTACGAAATAATATTTAAACTTTTTTTATATTTTCATTAAAATCAATAGATAAACAATCAAATAAACCCAAAAATGAGAATGATACTGATGGGCCACCACCATACTGCAATATTACTATGTACTACAGTTTCAATTCTACCATGAGAAAGAATGTTTTTATGTCTCCTTTTTTCAGATTCAGTCGCATATGAGAAAATGGTTGGTGCTCTAACCAATACTAGGTTGATGAATGGCATTAAACAGGCATCTGCTGTTAGTCAGACAAGCTGCCTTGAGGGCTTCCACTCAGTCCTGAATCAGTTTTCACCCAAAATGATTGGTTACAGTTATCCAGGAATGTTCTGCAGGTATTTGAATAATGGTGTAGTGATTTTTTACAGTTTGAACGTAGTTTCAGGTACAGTGTATTTGCAAGTTTTCAAAATCTCATATTTTTTTAATATTTTAGACATGCACTTGCGGTTATTCATTTTAATGAAAACCTGAATAGGAAAAACAAAATCAAGGATGGGGTTGATCAAGTACATGTCATGTTGATCAAGTTCATGTCAAAATTCAAAAGTTTTCACTGTTCGAGATGTGAAAGTGGAGCAAACCTTTAGTATGTATATACTGTATTTCATACAACAGTGTTGTAATGGTTATTTTGGGTCAACAATATGTCAGGACGTTTCAACTATTCCTGCCCTGCATTGCATTTTCCAACAGAACTATTCTGAGACATAAGGGGGGGGGGAGACAATGATCTAAGTAGAAATAATGGGCAACCAGTTAAATTCTTCTCAGTATTCCTGTAATAATCAGATTCTTTTGTTGATGAAATATACAACACCATGGCTGATGCAATTATCAACAAGAATGAGTTGGAAAAAGCAATGGAAGACATAAAGAAACTCCCTGGCTTTTGAATACCATGCTTAAGAAGCAGCAACACAATCAGGCCATTGAAAAAAAAAGCACGAGAAAGCATGTCGATTGTAAATGTGCCACCAACAAATCCAGGTAGGTTATTAGCCATCCCAGTCTTATAAATTAACACAGGTTGTACAGAAAGTGGAATAGTTATTATCGAAAATTTACTTCAGGAATGTCTGTTTTACATCAATCGGGAATGGTCTAGTCCAATAAGCACAGCGAAAGATGGCTACCATTTTCATAATGTGGGCAAGAAGTCAATCAGACTGTGGGTGGGAGCAATTTACATATTCAGTTAGGAATATAAATTGTTATGATCATGCTGTCAATAGCTTGCATAATTTGGTCACGACATCTTAAGTTATTTACTTTAAATCAATTGATGCAACTAATTTACGAAGAAATTTGTAATGTTGGCTCAAAGAATTGAATTACTCATTCTCTTTGCGCACATATATATGTAACTCATGAAAAAGGTTGTAATTTATGGCTCATGGAAAAGGTTGTAATGCAAATTTGAAAATGCATATTGATATTTGCACAATATAAATTAATAAGTTATTATTAAATCATTATTATGATTATTATCACAAAAAGATCCAAATTAAATTTTAGGCCAATAAAGATGAGCAAAAACTAAAGCTTGTTCCAATAGTGTCATGATAATGAATGTTGCGGTTAAAAGACAGAAGATGTTGAAGTTAAAGACAGATTGTGCCCTTGTGATACTGAAAGTTTTTGTCACAAGACTTCAAAATGTATCTTGGTAACTCCAATTTCCTGTTAACGCTGTGATTCACTTGATCATCAGTTGTCTCACACCTTCAAAAAAAAAATTATATTTATAAATAATATTTTAAAAGATATAATTCTCCATATCTTTATAATCATAGAACATTTTGAAGAACAACTACGACTCCCTTCACTGAGTTTAAAGAGGAAGACAGTCATTGGTAAATTGATTGGGCTTTAAACACTGCATGAAAAACATCCTAAAAAACCTATTGAAGACTGCTGGAAATTTTAGTTGAACTACTGGATGACTTAAAAACGATTCACCTTTGAAGATTCTTTATTGAATGAAGTCATCAACAAAATTGGTGAAACTAAAATAGACAGCAACATGTCGGCACAGTGCAGCTACGCTCTTCTTTATATGATGATTGAGGAATATAAAACAAATCTCTGTCTGTTACCTGTCAATTTGTCATAGAACAGGTAATAATAATTTCACAATTTTAGTCTTTGATATGGGAGAACAAAATTCTCCCATAAGGACTTCACCTTAGAGGACTCTAATGTTAAATTACATATGGTGTTATCACACGTTAGGCCTTGTTTCAATGTTTATTTGACGACCAACCCAAGCGCCTTCGTTATTTTGCAATTATGTGCAATGTTACATAAGTACACACAGAATAACGAACGGTTCTATTTTGAGGCTAAAAAGGACAAATATTCATAAAATTACAAAGTAAAATAGGACATAAATATCTAAACAAACATATTAACCTTACAAAGAACATAAACAAGGAAAATAAGACTGTACAAATTAAAATACTATGACTGTCACTTTGCACTTTTACGACTTTTTCAAGAAAAGACATCGTAAATCTATACCGCTTCACCAAAACCGTAGAGGTACTTATGCCGCTTTGACAAAAAGCATGCGTAAACATTTTATTTATGTCTTTTAACCGAATGCAACAAAAGCCATATAAATTCATATAGCTTGAACACAAGTGTAGGTAATCTTGGCCATCTCAACAAAGGTGTAATTAAACCAAAGTGGCAAATTGCTTCAACAAAAGCATCATAAATCCAGACCCCTTTATTCAAATCAAAGGGAATTTGATGCTGCCTCAACAAAGGCATAAAGAATGTACATCCTGTTTTAAGCAAGGGCAAAAAATTTCCTATATGTCTTTCAAATATGTCTTTCTAAGGAACAACTATAATTATTATATCAATATCCACTGCCAGAGGTTGAACGGCTGGGTCATCCATATCCAACTTGTAGCTCGGCTGCGACACTCGGACAGCAAAAAATTCCTTCCTGTATATGCAGCCAGGTCGTCTTCATGGCAAAATGTGAAAATTTGCTGTTTTCCCTGTCTTTTATACCAATCGTGTTTATTCATGCGATTACTCTGATGCTGCTTTATATTTGCATTAAGTTTTAATGCATTAAAGTGCCTATATCACTTGTGGAATCTTTACGGATTTGAATAGGGCTTGAAAAGTTTGTTTATAAGTTCTACAACCTTTTTTGACATAATTAAATAGTTTTGAAAATATGTCGGTTGGGGGACTAGGAATGATTTGCAAACACGCTGCCTTTTATAATGTAAACATGAAGAGTTTCACTGGCGATATAGTTTGCGCTTTTCAAGAAAAAAATACAGGAACGGTGCGTTGTGTATGGCTGTAGCAACTGACTGAGTTTTTCTCAAAACATTTTACTTTATGGGAGATCGAAGTAAAATTACAATTGGTTATATTATGTTTGCAACATGATCTCATTCCAAAATTAAGCTTATATCTTAATTGTCAAAAGCCTCTCAAATTAAGGTATTGCCTTAATTTTTATGATGATAAAAGCTGAGCAGATTTCAGAGATATTGCTGTCGCATCTTTACCCATGTATGGTGGCCGGTTGTTCTCATAGAAAATAAACTTTAAAACGCTAGTAAAATTTTAAAAAAAAAAAAAAATAACAATACAAAATAAAAAAATAATCTGAAATTAGAAATAAAAACAAAATAGATTAAAAAAGAAACAAAAACTGATTTTGAATTTACACAACATGGCCTATCGTTCTCATAAGAAATGATCACAAGATCGCGATGGCGAGTTGATCTCAATTTCATTGAATTAATACATACATATTTTCTTAAAATCAGCAATTATGGCTGAACGGATTCGTAATAAAGATTGGGAAGACTACATACAATTAAAAAACGACTTGCAGCAATATGTGTTACAAAACCTTCATAGGTCAGAGGTTTTGGATTGCGTTAAAAGGGACTATCCACAATATGCCCGGAGCATTGGGAGCCTAGATCGAAGGCTTAGCCATTTCGGCATCAAATACATCAAGTATGAGACCAAATTAGAAGATGTAGAAGCAGCTGTTTGGGAGGAGATAGGTCCTGATCGACTACTTGGCTATAGGGCCATGCACAAGAAAGTGAGGGAACAGCACCAAATGGCTGTTCCAACAGATCTAGTACATGATGTGATGACTTCTCTCGATCCTGAGGGACAGGAAAATGTAGGGCAGAAGAAACGAAACCAAGGACCAACAGGCACATTTACTTCCATGGTATATTTACTTTTTTCCTTTTTAACAGTTTATGTACAGTAATAAATAATTTCCTATTTTTATGCTTGGATCACCTGGATGCTGAAATTCAAGGAATCATGAATCATCTAATTGTTTTAAACATATTGCTCATTTCAACAGTTAATGAACAATGAATAGAAGTCAGGCACTTATGAAAATTTGTTTAAGGGGCCAAATCATACCCACTCGGGTGATGGGCATGATAAACTTATGGATTTTTCAAGAGATACTTTCCCACTTGCCGTTTATGGGCTGCGAGATGTTTTTAGTGGGTTTATTCTGTTTTTGAAAATTTGGACATCAAACTCTGATCCAAAGTTAATTGGCAGATGGTACTGGGAGCACATTAACAACTCTAAAGGTACTGTACCCAACTGATATAGAAAGAATGATTTCAACATGAATTCCTCTTTTTCTTCCATCCAATACTATCTCTTGCTGAATTCAGGCTTTTACATGACAATTCAAAAAATTATGTATTTTCGTAGAATATGTTGCTGGTGACTTAATATGTGAAATTAATGGTGACATTAAACCATGAATTTTAGCCATTGAGACAATAACTTGATAAGTTTTTTTATTAATTTTTTAAAATAATACATTTATAGCATTTCTTTGAAATAATTTGGCAGTGTAACAAATATAAACTTTTCTTTTTTGGAGCAGTTGTGAGCAAGTATCTTAGAGTGGACAAGGGTACTGAAAATGGGCATATGGCAACGATCCATGCGTATTTAAACCAACAAAGAGAAGATGTTGAAAATGTTGAGGACACTGTCTATTTTAGTCCATCTACAAATAATAAAGTTGTTTTAGAACAGTATTTTTCTACCATTAATAAGAATTTTAGAAAGAGTGGGTGTATAGTTTGAACAATTCATCATTGGAATAAATTGTAAAAGTGTAACATATGGCAATATCACATAGGTGAAGACTGATTTTAACTTGTGGTTTGCTAACTTTGCTTTGGGTTATTTCAACAAGAGAAATACCATTTTGTAGGGAAATTATTGTGAAAATGAACTAGTGCCCTAATGGGACTCCTCTTAACTCCCCCCCCCCTACATCAGTCTCTTTGTAATTTCTTTCTATACATTCATATAACTTAGTGTTTTGAGTTGAAGATCCGTAAGTGATTACTATAAAGCTTGGTCCATTCTAGTTATACATGATAGATTGCAGTACCAGTGGTATACAAGCTAACATATTATGTGCCAGTCTCTTTTTGATTTCTTATTACATTAAAGTTAAACTAGAAAAGTATTTATTTCAAAATTCGTATTTATTGAAGATTGAAAGATGGTGGCGTGAATTATACCACCGTTTGAAAAAGTTCTTCAAAAGGCAATTAAGAATTTTGCTAGAGCAAGGCCACTATGACTCAAATAATGAAACAGACAGGGAGTCCCAAATATCATAATTAACACCTAAGGTAAAATATAAAAACTTGAGGTTGCATGAGTCTCTTAATTTTACTTTTTTTACATTTCAGAAATCTACTGGCCTATGTTTTCATCCCAGTAATTCAGCAAGAGATGGATATATTCAGGAGTACAATTTGGAATTCCTATAGGGTCAGACACCAGAGAGATGCTCAGATGCCCAAAGGTGTCCCTAATCATTTATATTCCTTTCCTGAAGCATATGGGGCTGAAGAATTTGGTAAAGTATAATAAAAGATATAATATAAATAGTTATCTGGATTTCCTCTAACCTATTCAACTTTTTTGTTTGTTTTAGGTGGCACTCAAGTGGCACTAAATGAAGTAGCAGAAATGTCAGGTGTCCTTACAGTTGGGGATGATTTTTTGGCTCCAAACATAAGAGCAGAATGTAGATAAGAGCGTATCATTTCTGATGTAGATACTGTAAAAGCTTGTGAAACATTTTTATTTCTTAAAACACATTGTCATGATAATCTGTAGACTTTCTCAAAACTCCAACTTTCCCAACTTACTTTAAAATAATCTTGTTTCATAAAGTTCTTTTAACATACAACTTGAATCTAAAAGCCCTACTCTTTTTATCCATCTTAGTCACTTACTGTTCTCACTGATGTACAGTATTTCTAGCATCCTGCAATTAGCCAATGTGCATGAGTTTGGTACAAAATTTGAACTTGACCTTAACCATTTACAAAAACTGTAACATTAACATAATATTATTTTCTGTTCTTAGCACTACCTATATGTGACAATCACAGTATACTAAATAGGTTCTATATTTAGGTCTTTAAGAACAGAATGTCAATGTTAAGTGCTAGTTTCACATGAAAGTCATGATTTTTCTTGATGTCCTTGTAGTTTTATCATCTTACAATAATTATTGCATGTATGTTGACGTAAAAATTCCTCAATACCAACCTGGGTACAATTCCCACAACAAAAATAAAGTTCGCTGTTGTTCTCATCCATGAGATTTTCTGTGGCAATTTCTGGATCATAAAGATTAAAATTTGATCCTTGTAAATCGAGCAACATAAGCTTCCTCTCAGACATTCGATAACTGTAGTGGACTAAACACTGTGCCTTGGCAAATAGTTCAGAGTCTTCTTTACAGGAATCTTCACCAAGTTGAACACATTTCCCATTGTTGCTGATGTACTAAACAAATGTGCCAGGTACATATTCTTCAACAGTTGTTGGTTTCTCATTATATGTTGTACAATAACAACGGTTGTATTGGAAACATGTTCCAAACCCTACAGGAGCTTTTAATTCAAATTTATTCGTTAGATGGAGAGCCACAGAGTGCATTTGCACTTGTTTACGTGCGTGATATTCAGCAGTAGAACTTAGCTTGACAACAATGACATCAATTGCATTGTAGTTGTACGTTTTTACAACCCACTCGGTATCACTGTCATGGCTAATTGCTCTGAAGCCATCTTGGAAAGCACCAGATGAGAACTTTTGTGTTTCAACAATAAGTTCTTTTTCCATGATTTCGATCCAGTTATGAGTGTGGACATCAAATTTTTCAAAGACAAGCTTCACCCTATTTCTGCTTGGAGGTCTCACCAATTTTCCAGCTTTGAGCAGATCAGCAACAGATAATGAAGCAGGAAATGTAGTTGCCAAGATAGGCACTACTCTGGCATTTTCAGACTTTCTGCCATTAAACTGAACTGGACTTGATATTTGAATTTGTTTGGTATACACCAGCCTCATCTGTTTCTTTCATAACCACAAATCTAACCAGGTACACCTGTGGATGTGAGGCATTGTCAGTTTGTGACATATAAGGACACTAGAATACTCAGTACTTTTAACATTCATATTTAACTTCTTCTAAAATTTCAAATAAATAAGGACCCATAAAATCTCTGGAGTAGAGATATTCAAGATTCCCAAAGAGTAATTTAACACATGAGCAGAAGATTTACTATTTGTTTGAAAGCTTCAAAAAGAGGATATAACTCCTATTGTTATGAACACAAAACTGATTGTTAACCCTAACCAATGAGAATCAGTCTTATAAGGTCTTACATTAATTACTGTTTCAAACAATAAAGTCTCGTATTTAAATTCTCATGGTTGTTTCTTCCTGCTAATGTAAAACCTGATGCCTCATATTTCCCCAGGGTTAGGGACTGACTGGGCACTGAAAAAACACAATGCCCTGGGGACTGACAACTACAAGTCCATTTGTTAGCAAATGTCATATTAATTCTCCATGAGACAGTGCATGAAAATAACCAAATTTTCTGTGGTAGACAGGGGGAAAGACACACAAGGATTTGAGGAATAAAGCGTTCATTTTTTCAGTACCGGTATTTAATAATATAATAAAGTAGGGCTGTGCATATGCATATGAGCTAGGGGAATTGGTATAGACATAAAACAAGCCTGACAGATCAGTTACTGCAAACTGGCTGATCAAGCTATCATTCACAACCTTCTTATATCTGTGTAGTCAGATTGATACAAACCATGTACCATTGTATCATATAAATGTTTCACAGGGGGGGGGGGTCAATCAACTCACTACACTTACATGTATGGTTAAACTCTGGCTGTTACCCCATCCCCCAAGGGATTTGCTATGCACTGTTTCCCAGGCATGGAGAATTGCATTTATACTTTTTTATTGGGGGGCAAAGGGTTATTTTACCAGCAAGGATTAAGCACAGGGTGAGGAATTTACAAGCCTTTTAAATATTTTATTTTGCAAATCTCCTGGGATGGAGAAGATAACAGGGAGAATTGAACCATGCCTAACACATTTGAATGTAAACAGTATTAAAAGCTATGCCTTGTCTTTTCGGTGTGGTATTTGTGATATATTTGAACAAGAAGGGCCCTTGTTGGAGACCAGAACGTTGCATGTGCTTGTAGGTAAATTAAAATGAGATGCACATGCTTTTTTAAGATTGGATAAAGTTAGGTAGTCATATTCAAAATTTACAAATTCGCAGGGTTGCACTGGCTTTGTACGTCTGCTTGTTGTTGGGTTCGGCCGCGAGTCTCTGAACAATTATTTTATGCGGTGCACTCCCTTTTTTCTTTTGGCGGGTGCCTTCATCATTCTTGGTTCGTTTTGCGCTCATCTTTTGTTGTAACTCTCTCCAGACGGCTTGCCTTTTCATTTTTTCTGGTGGTTTCACTCTTCACAACAGACTGGCACAAGTGGGCACAAACATTTGCATTTGGCGGAATAATTTGGTGGGAATTGGCGGGAAAAATCAAAATTTGAGTAAGACCGCTGTGCATAAAGTGTGCTGGCTATGAGGACAATAGGCCGTCACGACATTTGATTTTTAAAAAAAAATCGAGTTCTTATGAGAACAATAGGCCATGTTGTGTAAATTTAAAATCAGTTGGTTTTTTTTTAATCTATTTTGTTTTTATTTCTAATTTCAGATTATTTTTTATTTTGTATTATTATTTTTTTATTTTTTTTTAATTTTACTAGCGTTTTATAGTTTATTTCCTATGAGAACAACCGGCCACCATACCCATCCAAAATCTTTGCACAATTTATACCGGTATTATAATTTTACAAACATATACAAATTGTTTTGCGTTTTTTGTCATTAATATGGATGAATGTGAAAGACAAACAGGTGAGAATTTGTACATGCTTCTTGTGGTTTTCAAAAGCTCTATGGTTAGTGCACTATTATTTAATTAACTTGTCAGCATTTAGAACTAGTTAGTGAAAGCCATATTGAATTATTGATATTGTAATATGTTTCCCCTGTGATTATTGCTTTAAATACTTTCCCCGCTATTGGGAACTATCTACCCTGCCGATAGAGCTGCCAAACAGATACAAAGTTTGACAGCTTTAAACATCCGTTTTATACGAAATTTTTCTGATTTTTAACATGGTAAATAAGCTCTCTTGGGAGGTTGTTAAATGGTACAATTATAGAATACCCTGCCATATAGCGCATTATGTTAAAAATCTGTTAGAGGATCAATTTCAGAGTACAGAATTGCCCCGTTCTTTAAAAATAGTGTTTATTCTTGTTCTCTGGAGGTCCAATTCATACATTAAGAAACATAAAACAAGGTACATTTATAATCATTTATCTACAAGACTATATGGCATTCACTGTTAATTCACTGTTAAGAGTTGGGTTGGCAGGGTATTCTATAATTGCTCTGTGAAAACACCAAAATATCTATCTGACACGTACTGTAGTGTCTTATGAACTAAATAACCTTTTATTTGCCAATGCACAAGCAACTTTAGCATTTTATCAATGACAATTGCCATGTTATGAGTTATAAAACTATTTTCCAGTGTCTCTTGTTGATCATGTAACTGGCGATTGAACTTAAATGCATCTACTTTGGTATTTTGCTCTGTCTAATGCCAGATTATTTTAATCACCAGCCACCAGGGGCCGGTTGTTCAAAGATAAGTTAGTGCTAACTCTGCATGGGTAAAATTTCAATGAAGAGTTTTTGTTTACGTGCTTCTTTCTGAACCACTGTTCATTTTAAAACTTTAAAAAATATGACTTATAGCAGTTAATTGGTTAATCCATTAAGTTGCATTGCACACCGTTATACCCTACTTTGGTATTTTACTCCATTGCCAGATGATTTTACCTATCAAGGAAAGAGCACTAGTGCTTAATGGGTAATGTGCAAAGTTTCTTTAGTGTTAAAGTTGTTGTTTCAACATGCATAAGGTAAATTTATGCACCTAATATTCATGTTGTTTCCATGTGCGACATCTCAGGAATAATGGCATGAATGTAAAAGAGCAAATTTCAAGTAGCTACACAGTGTCATACAAAAGTCTGTATGTAATTCAATTCCCTTGCTAAATTCACATTGATAGTTGCACAACTAATAAGGGAAACATAACTTCATATAAGCAAGTATAAAACTTTAATAAAGGCTTTAAAATAAAGACTTTGATACTTTAATAAAGCCATTATCATTCATTCAAATGATGCACCTTTAAAATCTTTTAAAAGCTTGTATTAATTATGTGCTCACAGAATAATTACATGTATGACTGTGTAATTATAACTAAATTTACAGTGCTAATTAGTTTCAATATTTGCAAGGTGTTAAGTTACAAGATAGGAGGGATAATAAAGAATAGGAGGATGAGGAATAGTACATGACATGGTGCATATGAAGAGACGTAACTGGTACATGTTAATTGAATGAAGCTGTTAAGAGAGGGTTTAAGCTGCTTAGTTATTTAAAAGCTTTTGTTAATCAATTATTCACAAGTGTTAATTGCGAAAGTCTATGCTTTATAACTCTTAACTAAATCCTAACTGTTTTAATAGCTATATTATTAAAAGATATATTTTAGGCTCTGTTTATTATAAGGATTTATTTTCTGCCTGAAAGATATTTGGCTGCAATAT